GTAGTGGTAGTGGTAGTGGTAGTGGTAGTGGTAGCAGCCGCAGCAGCAGCAGGTTATCTAACTTCCACAGCTCATCTAGCTTCTGAGTCACTGCCACCAGCTGTTCAGAAAGCAAATGAACATTCATACAAAAGTACATATTTAATCTTTCGCCAGATCTTTCGCCAAAAAAAAAATTACTTTCGCCAACTCGAGAAAAAACTTTCGCCAAATGAGATTTTGATATGTTCCGGGTCATCGTCATACACACTGCTGACTAGGACCTTTAGATCGACAACCATATATAGATTCAATATCCTTCAATAAGGAATCATGCTTCATGGAAGGCACGCGCCAGCAGACTGAGCCACTTCAGGAAAAACATTGAAAAACAAACAAACAAACCTTCGTTTCTGTGCCACTCCTCCATGGCCAAGACCACATGAAAGGACTGTGCACCATGCGCCTGAGCCAGAACGATTGAAAAGAGGTCAAGAATGCCTCACGTGCCATGTAAGAACGTATTGACCACACATGCCAAGAACCTGTTGACATGCCACACATGCCATACCCAAACAAGAATTATATAGTAGCAGCAGCATGGAATAGTTTTCCAAGAGACCTGGATCTCTTGCCTCTTCAGTGCTTATAAGGCCAAGCTACACACGAACACTACCATTCGGACAAGAAAAGCCAGTCATCAGTTTGTTGTTCCTTCCGAAGGGATGACTTTCGTCACCCTTGCAAACCTCCATCCCTCTGCCCCTCTCCATTCGATCTCCGGCCTGTTTGGACTGTCGTCCCCCCCACCTGCGCCAAGGAGGTCAAGGTCTGTGAAAGGATCTGCTCATCCTGGCGGATTGGGACAGCGATGGAGGGTGTGGATGGAGGGTGAATAGAGGGTGGTGGCTGGCCCCAAAGCGGTAGAAGCCAAACACTTGGCAAAGGGCCACCTGCTAAGGCTGCCAAAGTCTTCCCAAAAGGGCTGTCTGTGGTTGCTTGTGGTTGCGAGTTGCAGGCCGCCAAGAGCTGTCTGAATACACAGGCACTTTGCAAACAACAACATGATCAGAACCTAACCACGCTCATTGATAAATCAGTCAGGTATGGTCCAAAAACTCGACACCTGCTCGGATCCAACTAATTACAGTCTTCTGTATTCTAGTTCATATCACTTGTCACACTCTGCACCCCCGCTCCAATCTTTTTCACCCGCACAGGTTTCATGCAGGCCACCCGCTACCAGCGGCGCGCGAGAGTTTTCACGCTGCGCCGCTGGAGCTGTGCGTCTTCGGCGATCGCCGCGAGAGCTGGGCGCACCGCGCGGAGATACGGGTTTACCGCCAAGCGCGTGGAAGGCTGAGGGGTGGACCAAGGAAAGAGGAGAAACCGCTTGCACATTAGGCACCTAATTAATTACATGTGTGTCAACCCTTGATTGAAGTTCATGAACCATTCACCCCTAATCATCCCTGATCCTAATATTATGAGTGTCTATACTTATTTATAGTAGTCTAGTCTACTTGGTTCACTCCCCAAAAGCGGAACGACGGCTTCGAGCTCAGCTAGAGGCGCCCCAGAGATTGCGAGAGCTCCGCGCGCCAGGAGAGTGGCAGCGCCTGGGTGTCATTGGCATCGTCCTGAGTGGCGGAGTGTCGTGGCGACTGAGTGCACAGAGCGGTGAGTGACCCCTGGGTGGACTCCCGGCAAGTCATTGAAGGTATTGAAGTGAGCTGGATGAGTCAGGGTGAAGAGCAGTAGAAGATGGTAGAAGTGATTCAAGCCTGAGAGAAACGTCTACGCCAAAACAGACATGCCGGGCATGCTGCTTCCCCACAACTGCCCCACAACCCATCTTTCTCAATCTCAGTGGTCCGGGTTGCCTTTTGCATCCTTTTACCATCTTTAACCCCTGTGAAGAACATGGACCTGAAAACCACTGATTGGTACTGGTAGAGGAAAACAATCTTCTCCAATAATGGTCCAAGGGGTGGTAGATTGGTCAGGGTAGGATAATTCTTCGGCAGCTTTCACTGCAGATGGTTCAACACACTCCTCATCCCGCAGCGACCACCAGCGACTCCACCTTCGGCCCAAGTGCCCAAAGGGACTCGTTCGGCCGCTGGGCGAGGATGTCCTCTAAGCCGCCGGGTGGACACCTGCGTGTCGTCACGCCTTCACCGACAGATCCAAACCCATTGGTGCAGGATGAATAGTTCAGAAGATGCCGGATTCCCAGAAACAGGCACTGAAACATCTGAAACAGATTGAAACAGTTAGATTCTAGTACCTTGTTCGACAGTCATCGTGTCTCTAACTTCTCTATATACCCTCCTCCGTGGGAGCTCAAACACCCTCGGGCCAGTGCGCTCGCCTATAGAAGGTCAGCCATCCTCGTCCTCAGCCAGAGCCGTCCCAAAGATGCAGGGTCAAAGTCCTAAGGCATCAGGATCTATATGGATCTATCACTGAATCACCCTGTTTCTGAAGATGGTCCCGATGGCTTGGGATTGACCCTTTTAAACAAATCTATCACCCTCCCGAATCCTGTCATACACTGCTCAGAAGGCGAAGGAGTTTTATTCTTCCAGGCAGCTGAGTTAGGGCTGTCAGGGTGTGTCTTAGAGGGATTCGGCCCAAGGAATCCTCAGGTGTCTGTCGCAACGGTTTCATAGCGATCGGTCAATCTGTGGCACGGCCACCTTCCCCGGAAATGGTCGGAATCCAACCCCGACACGAAGGTACTGGACAAGGAAAGAGTCTTCAGGTGTTTTGCTTCCATCAAACAAGACCTCTAGCAGGACCAAAATGGATGGATTGTGTTTTGATGTGTTCGGATCCTAACCTAACGGCTGTTTTGAATTTTCTGGTGCACAGGCCCATCTATGGATCCATGATCCAACAGCCTATCTTCAGAATTGGGCCACCCCCCCCAAATGCCTTCTCAAAGGGTGGCTGTGGATCCCACCCGCCGGACTTCTGCTCGTGACTTGTGACGGACTCACCGGCCAGGGATCTCCGGGAAAGTTCCAAGAGATGGTAGAGAAGAAGACCCAACCTGGGCGGGGCAGTGAATAGCCATGGGCCGTGGGCGACCTTGAAAAAATTCACCCCTGCTGCATTTTTGGAACACGTACAGTCCTTGCATTTTGGAGGCAGCTTGGTTTGGGCGACGGTGGCATGTTTGAAAGAACAATCTGCAAAGGTTTCTGCAAAAGTTGATCGAAATTCCTGCAGCATCCCCTGCATACTCTTCTGGCACCTGTGGAACTGGCTCAAATTCGCTTGCCCAACCAAACACCCCGGTTCGCCGCTTCGTCCCTGCTGAGCCCGCGACAGGATGGAGCCCAGCAGTGAGGCGACTTGAAACCAATCTCCTCGCAGACGAGGGGGACTGCCGACAAGGAGGTTTGGGGGGTCTTCGTGGCTGGACAAGCGGCGGGGAGTCGCAGACTCCAAAGGCTTTGGGGAGTGCGAAACAAGAAGAAGAAGAAGTTGTTGTTGTTGTTGTTGTTGTTTGGTTCCTAATGCGCAGAAGCTGTCGGTGCGGTCGGTAAAGCATATACATGTGCATACGATTTTTGGAGGAAAACATTCTGCACCACTTGGAATTGGATGAAGCTGCTGGTCCTCTGACGAAAGGCATAACCAGCAAGACCTTCAGTGATGGCAGCTTGCGTTCATGTGGATGTGGTATGCAAACTGCACGTTGATGCTGTCGGACAAAGGAACCAGTTTTGGGTTGTTGTTGACTCAGTGGCAGGAACATGATAAACTGATGTCAATGGATATCCTCCTTCATGTTATATCAAGGGCTGCATATTTCTGGTGCAAGACCTCAGCTGTCGTATACCCCTTCCCGATGTTCTGGCACCCAGCTCGGGCCCTGACCAAACAAAAGGCGAAAGGCATCAACAGGAGAAGGCAGCAAGCCTCAGTGAGACGCTTTCTTCGTCTCCTCTGCGTTGGGAAGAAAATGCCAAATGGCTCAGTCGTGTCTGAGACTCCCGACCGCCAAACTTCGACAAGGCACCCTGAAGGGGCCTTGGCACAGCTCCACTGATGAAATTACTATAGTGGTCCCCAAATAAATAGAAATAGAAACAGTTTCCAATACGTACATTTTCAGTGGGGATCTACTTTTACTGTCTAGTCTATATTTATGGAAATTTATGCCACTCATTGCCAGCAGTTACAAGTGATGAGTCTAGATTCTAGATTCATTCGTCCGGTGATGAGTCTCTTCAGCAAACACAGAAGATACGTTTATGTCTACAAAGGCAGGGGGTTCATGGACCTCTCCTGTGGGACGTGGGACATCATGGGTTTCGGTCGTTGTCACCATCGACTCGGTCGTCAATTCTGAGACTCGGTCGTTCCAAGTCATCGTGCTTTCCTCGGTGGCACAGGATGGCACCAAGGCATGAGTCCTCCCGAGTCGGTGTGCTCCATTTTTGCCAGTCACTGCCAGGGACCCTGGCACCCACTTGCAACTCTGCAGCAAATTCCATGAATGTCCAAGACCTTTTGTTTGCATTCTTTCTTTGGAGCTTCGGACCATGCTCCCTGTCTTTGGTCTTCGTTCTTGTCTTTTGTGAATTAAGGACTGACTTGACACCTGTGGATCCGCAGCCGATGATGCCGTTGCCACCGCAGTCTTAAACACCCAACGGGGAAAAAAATCAAAGCCACAAGAGGCCAGGACACTTCGCAAATGAAGAAAGGCTGAGAACTCAATGACCTGCAGAGAGGGATGTTCAACCGGGATCGTAGCAACTTGGGACAACCGACCTGATAGGCTCCGATGCAGAAGTCTAAGAAAAGGACGCGCTAGAATGATGTTCCAAAATGTGCTTGTCATCGATTCATGTCTAGTAAAACGTGCCTTAGCTGCAGGCTTTGCTTCGTGTTTTGCAGCATTTACACCTTGTGTCAGCAGCCTCCTTCACACAAAAATGGTCTAACAACAAAGAGTCCCAAGAGGAACTTGCACCAATGTTCCACACCCTGACCGTACCTGCGCCACGCAGTACACGGAGTTCAGCATGTTGATGATGGCGTTGAAACTGGAGAAAACGCTGAGGACCTCAGCTCAGCCACAGTTCGCCCAGTGAAAAAGGACAAATCATCCCCTTCCAGGTCGACATGAACACCCGCGTGTTTCAAGGCGTTCTGGCGGTTTGGTTCCAGGGGGAGGATGAAAAACAATGCATCCAAAACATGAGAAATCGTTTCCACTACCAAAAAAACTTCTGAAATACATAAATTATATATACAGAGATAATGAACTTATCATTATCATCATTATTACTATTATTCAATATTCATCAAATAATGTCCCTGCTCATGTTTGTTGTCACTGTCCACCCACGATGCCAAAAGAAAGCAAACTCCACTTGGACCGCACCCTGTTCCGAATGTTTGCCCCTGTGAGGTGCAGTAGCTGAGGACCGCACCAGGACTAACACTGTGATGACAGCAAGCGGAAGAGACGGGGTGTCAAAGCGAGAGCGATGTGCAAAACACGTTGGAAGCCAGCCGTCTTCTGCCATGCCTTCGGACAATCCGAAGTCGCAAGAAAAACAATTGCAAATAAGAGAACAGCACCAGGTTACCACGAGTTCCAAAGGAATGCTTCTCAGACCTATCCAGTTAGTGGACAATGGGCACCCATAAATACCGAGGGTCCTTCCAATAAGCATCGCCGTGAAACTCTGGGCAGCACAGGGGTCTTTGGATGAGTTCATGCCCCATGGAAATCTCCAAACATTTGGTTAAACAGACTGAGATGTAACAACCAAGGATGACTAAAAATGAGTCCCCTCAAGCTGTTCTTTAGTTGTGGGAAGTCTGAAAGTGATCCATTCATTTCAGAAACAGTGATCTCTCTGCCTGAGATATTGGTGTGGAAAAACATGTGGAATAGTTGCTAGTCTGCGTGTGGGTCCATCTTGGAAACTGCCGCTCAACCTAATTCAACGAGTCTTAAACAGTTCCAGCGGATGGTCAAGCATGTCGCTGGAAAAAATATGTTTTGTATGGCTTGGCTAACACCACAGGGGCCCAATGTTCAGGTATTATCTTCGAGTGTCCTTCGTTGAGCACCCCAGAACACGCGGATATAATCTAGCAACTTCGGCAAGCCAAAATGATCTAGATTTGAATTTGCGATAACTGTATAAGTCAGTGGACCAAGGATGGTTCCCGGTACCTGTGATCACTGCACTGCCCAGTCTAAAGCCATGTTGGAAACTCCTATAAAAAGTCTCTTTGATGTCTAATTAGCGCCTTCAGGTCTGAATGAGGGACCTGGCTTATGCGAGAGGAAAAACCCTTCGATCTGGATGTTTTGTTGCCTTTTCACACGAATGAGAAAATGCGTTGCACAAAATTGCCCTAGGCAACTTGTCGGTTTTGAAGCTCTTTCATTGCGCCCTCTTGAAATCTTCTTTATTAGCCTGTGATGGAAACATTATAAGGGAAGATGTTGCGAACAAACGGTCACTTATTGAAACAAGTTGTTTTGAACCGTTCAACCTCTTCCTAGGGCCCTGTGGCAATTTGATACTTCATGTTTTTTTTGCAAAACCTGTGGCCCTTTCGAAAGTTGGCTTGTGAGTCTGACGGAAACTTTTCAGTCCGGCGTCGCCAAGGTCTCCCGCTCGGAAGAAACAATATTGAAATAGTCAAACCATGTCAAACAATCTCAGCGCCTCAACATCATCTCTGACCACGCGCCCTGCACCGTGCCGCGGGCGCACCGCTCGCTTCGCCACCCGCGCAAGCCTTGCAATTGAAAGGCCGCCTCGGCCATCTCCGACAGCTGCTGGCCCAGGCAACTCACGGCTGCGCCGGTGATCACCCAAGACCTCGGGGCACGTCATGGCACGTCCGTCCGCCAAAGGGTTGTTGTTCAGTCCCATCCAGTGGATGTTCACCCTGGAACCCCTCCAAGTGCGGGCACCATGGATCATGGCTGGTTGTTTTGCTTGTCTTCGGTGGTGCACAAACGAGATCAAGCAAGTACACACCGAGTTGGTCCCAATTGAATTCAAGTCGGGATCATGTTGGATCTTCCCTACTTCCCCCCACCAAGCGGCTCCAAGATACTGCCTCCAAGCCTGATCAAGCTGCGCCAAAGCCACACTCAAATGAACATACATCAGACCTAGAAAAATGTGGCAGTGGATTCCACAATGGCGGAGATCTTCAAGTGGGTAATGGATGGTAATGGGTTGGTGGTCTTCTACCAAAAGACCAAGGGTCCATCTCAAATGTCTCGAGACATCTCGAGACTGATTATGGCAACATGTCCAAAATTGGCTGCTACCGAAGGGAAAAAGAGTCGGTTCGTAGCAGAATATTTCACTCCAGGAGAGGTTGTCAAACCATGTCAAATCCATTGGGCAGTTCGGAGTTCTCAACCGCCCATGTCTCCGTGTCTGACTCCGCCTTCGGCCCATCAGCGCAAACTCTCCATCTTGCCAGTTTCGCCAATCGGAGGTAGCACCAGAGATGCCAAGCCCCACAAGCCTTAAAGAAGGCAACGTAAAGAAGAAGATCTTGAGATTTTGAGCAGTCTCCTTTCCAATTCTTCCATTGCAGGACCCCTGGAGGGTTTGGCCGCTTTGTTCCTGCTTTTTCCCTATATCGATTGGATGATGAACTTTCCTTTCGAACCTCCACGTGTCATCTTGGGCTGTTGGCATTGAAGAGATTGCGAAGGCAGCGCAATAATGCTGAAGATTCAAGACGTTTCTGACTATTTTTGAGTTGAATCCTTGTTTTGCCCAAGCCACAGCGGCAAGAAGTAGGAGAGGACCACAGCCACCATGGCCACACCCAAGGCTTTGGGATAAGTCGTGCTGACATCTTGCACCTCTCCAGCTAGAGTGGATGCTGTATCCCAGTAGTTGAGATTCCAAAAGAGGCAATTCCTCAGAGCTCGGAGGGCACTGCCCATCGGCCCCCCACCAGGAGTTCGGAGTTCGGAGGAACGTGAGCTCTCACCAGCCGTGTCAGTTTCATGCCAACAAACCTCCACAAACTCCCAACAGGGCCCTACCAAGGACGGTATTAGGTGGAGGCCATCGCAAATAGGTTGGAGGCCATCGCTAGGTGTCGGCCCGAGCGCCTCTCAGCTGGTGCACCCGGGCTGGCCAAAGGCTCGGGGGGGGACGCGCATCCATGTTCGACCCGGAGCCATGGCTTCCCTCGATATCAGAGGGCACCCTGGTTTCTTTGACGGGCAAAGCATGGTACTTTGATGAAGCTGGCCAAGGTTACAAATGCACTTCTCTGCTGCACGGACAACCCTTTTTGCTGCGAGGAAGCACTTTGACCACCGAACGGTTCGCGGTTATTGGAGCTACAGTCTCCATGGTGGAGGGTTTGCCGCATGTTGAAACCCACCATGCAGCGTTGAAAGAGCACTTCATGGTCTACAACAAGGCTGCAACTGAAGTCATAGATGCTTGCTCAGGCTATGGTATTATGACAGCAGGCTACAAATGGATTGACTGCACGGTTCGATGCCACATAGAGCTCAACCCCAAATATGCCACATGGCTTCGTTCCACAGGGGCCAATGTCATTGAAGGGGATATCGCGAGCATTGCTGTGCAAAAGGCTTTGGTCCCTTACACATGCATGCCATGTATCCTCACTGGAGGTTTTGCTTGCCAGCCCTTCTCCCAACTGGGCGACAAACGACAACAGCTCGACCCACGGGCAAAGAGTTTCGAAGGGATGCTGATTACATGCTATCTGCATCAGCCCATTGCCATGATTCTGGAGCGCACCAAGGAAGCCATGACCTCGACGTGGGTACAGGGAACCTTGAATGCCTTTTGCAATCGTACAGGATATACCTTCCAGCAACAGCTGTGCCATCTCCAAGATCTATGGCCGGCCAAAAGGTCTCGGTGGTGGGGAGTTTTGGTCCATCCAATGGTCACCATGCCACCACTTCGCAGGTTCCCGGCCTTAGACTTTGTGCCCTCATTCCGCCACCTAATTCCGAAGCTTGCTGAATGGCCCGCTCAAGATCTGACAGAGCTTCAACTGACAGCCCATGAGTTAGAAGTGTTTGCCGAGCAGCCTGGGGGCCTTGGTAGCAACTCTGTCAGCCCGACAAGGCCTTTGATGACAGCCCTTCACGCATGGGGCTCACAGTTGCAGGCATGTGCATGTGGCTGCAGGGCAGGTGGCTTCACGACCAAAAGGTTGGAGGAAAAAGGATTGTATGGTGCGCTGATTCCCATGCCTGGAACCACCAAGGTTCGACGCCAAGACATTGCAAATATGCGTCATGTCCACCCAGATGAAGTTGCCATTTTGCACATGGTACCCACTCGGTACATCCATCAAGGAGACACCAGCCACCTTCGCCTTGATCTCACTGCACTAGGCCAGATGGCCTCACCTGCCCATGCATTATGGCATGTTGCACAAGTGATCCAAGCCCTCGGCACCGCCTTTGGTCTGCCAGTGCACCCGATGTTGGCCGAACAAGGCCTCCTGCAACTTGGCATCGAGACATTTGCGGCACGTGATGAGATGTTGAAACCTTTCACACACACGAGGGAATCCAGCCTCTTCCAAACGGCCTATCATGCCAAGTTTGGTAGTCAGCACATCCTACCCACCGATGACGACTTGTTTCCTGCGGAAGCGGGTCTAGACAACCGACATCAAGGGGAGGGAGGAAACAAACGAAAGGGTGCCCCAGGGATTGAAGAGGACCATGACACAGATGCATCACAAGGCATCACACCGACGGGGGGGCTCGAGTTTTTCGCCAATCGACCACACAGAACAGGCAGTACGCAAGTCATCATTCCGGCCGTAGGCCACTCCGCAGGCACGTCTTCGCATATGACCGGGTCACATGAAGACTACTCCGCCATCCGGAGGCCAGTCGAGCTAGGTGACAAGAAGATAGTGCACCCTGTTTCGCCACAGTCTGACCATCCCACCGGGGGTCCTAGGTTCGCCTATGAGTCACCCGCCGTCACCGTCATGCCACAGGATCAACTTGACGACCCTGATCATCAGAGAGTGCGGACAGACCTTAAGGTTCGGCCCGATTTTGCATTGCCGCCAGAGACCACTGAACAGAGTGGGATTCTTTCGTCTTCAAGGGAGAAAGAAAGTCTAGAGGCAATAGATCAGGAAAGGGTGAACCTGTTGAACAACAACGATCTCGGCAAGCTCGTGCCAACTCAGCCATTCCTCATCACAGTATGCAGCAAGGGGGCCAATCCTGTTGAAGTGCGAGTCCGTCCGGGGTCAACCACTGGCCAGCTTTCCAAAGCCGAAGAGGGCATTGAGTCACTCGTGCAGCCAATTGTGATCACAACCATGACTGGCACACCATCGCCACTCGCAAGTTGGCTCACACCAGGGGCTTGGTACATTGTTGATAATGGAGCGACCCATTCTGTCCCAAGATGTGCAGACATCCATGCCCAACAAGAATGTGTACTCACCATCCAAGCCCATGACCGGTTACAAGGGCTACTCGTTCAGGGTCCTTTGGTTGCAGTTGACGAAATGACATTTTATGCTGCCATGATTCGCAACCAAGGCCACAATGTTGCAGATCCCATCGTCATCGACAGCTCTGACCAAGAGGATCAAGCACTTGCGACCTGGGTCCTGACATCCCTGCGTGAGCATGAAATCACCAAGGACAGAACTTTGTTCCAGGTGCCAGTCCTCGTCCGAAGCCACTGGGTCCCCGTCGCCCTTCGAATCACATCGGCTGGGAATCGGGTCACAGTCCCTCAGGAAGTCATGTCACTCATCCAAGATCACCTGGTAGCTGACGTTGGACCGCATGAACTAGAGTTTGAGGCCAGTACACTGCCCAGCGCATTTCATGCCGATTGTGGCTTCCAAACTGTCAATTGCATTTTTGCCCAAACCATTGGTACTGACAAGCCGAAGCCGATCTTGCCTGCACAGGCTGACAACTGGAGGGTTTTGTTTGCAGTACATGCCAAGAGACTCAATCTCGAGCAAGCACCGAGCATTAGGGTAGGAGGTACCATGCACCCGGATCAAGTTTTGTTGCAAGCCTTGCTCGCTCAACATGGTGTCCACAAAGAACGGCTTGCAACGTGTGCAATCAATCTAATCCAGCAGCTGGGGGGAGACGAGATTGGGAAGGCCCTTAAGAGCCCCCAACCATGGAAAGATCTAAAGACCCTTGCATCACAAGCCTCTCCGCCCATTCGGATTGTGCTAGCAGCTGAGGTTGATGCGGCTGTCAAAGACAGATTGGCCACCAAGAAGCCATTCGGATCCAAGGCCAACAAGACCAAAGGACACCGGGGCACACGCCCACAGGTCATCCCGACTGCAGATCAGATCAAGCTGCCTGATTCGCTTTTCGTCCAGCAAGATGGCCAGAAATTACCGTCCATTCCAGTCCATAAAGTTGAAGCACATGCTCAGGGGGTAGCTGTGTGCAACATCCAGGATGCCTTGCACTTTCTCAGCTTGACGTCTCCGCTCAGTGCAGAGGGGGTTGCTCTCCTCATACTCGACCATGCTGACCCTCGACTGCCCCCACAGGTTGAGCAAATCAGGGTTCCAGCGATGTCGGCAGCAACCAGTGAGCCAATGCTGGTTTCCGCTGCCATGTTACAGCTGGGCAACAAGAGGGTCCTACGCCATGTGCCTGCTGAAAGTTTTGCCCTCGATGAGATCCAGACGCAGGTATTGAAAGTGGTGGTATACCAGGATGAATGGACCAGCACGTGGTCGTCTTTCCTGCAACATCCAGTCAAAGCGATCTTTGATCACCCAGTGATGCAAGATGCCGAGATCCCTCAAGCCGAAAATGTGATGGATGTTTGGGATCGACAAACGCTGGACAGCAAGTTGACACGCACACAGCCCCAGCAGGCAGAAATCTTTGCAGTCCTGATTCGGGTCACCTCAAGGCTAGCAGATCATTTGCTGCCAAGCGCCGGAGTTGATGGGGTCTACTTTGAACCCCGCACCATGGATGGCCGTCGCCCTGATCCACAGTTCCGGGTGGTCTGGATGCCGAAGAAGAACCTAGCACAAGTGAGACTGGCGCGCAGTCAAACGGAAGCTAAGACGCACATTGTGCGGATGGGGCAGAGATATGGGCTTCGGGTACATCATGAACACGCAGAACAAGTTCACCACCAGCACCGACCTGACTTGTTGTTCCTGGATGGACAAGCACTCCGGCCGTACAAAGTTGGCCCATTTCCATACGGGTCCACCAAGGCTTCCATCTCGATGGCCTTCAAGCACTTGGGTTGGCAAGCTCGACCCGTTCAGCCGATCTCCCAAATGCAGGTCCAAGACGGGATTTTCTGGCAGGTGATGGCTCCTCACGAGCCTACACACTGGATCTAAGCTGAAACATGGTGACATCCTGATTGCCAAGATCGAAGACCACAAAGACACGGTCGTGCCAAGCGTGCACAATGTCATTGCATCCAAGAAGACGATCACTACCCTGGCACATCGGACACAAGAAAGCCACACTGACCCGTGGCTTCAACAAGACCCATGGCAATCCGGCAGGAAAGCATCACAACCGGCACCAGCTCAGAGCGTATCCCCTGGCCAGCTACAGGCACTCGAGCATAGGCTCGAACAGAAGATCCAAGCCTCCACTAAGGAGCCAAAGGAAGAAGGCATGCAAGTCGACCATACGGCCCGGATTGACGCTCTGGAACAACAGATGCAATCGCTGACACACAATTTTACTAGCTTCCAAAGCCAGCAGGTCAAAGTCAACCATCAGCTTGCCCATCAGCTGCAAGGAATGGAGGGCCGGATTGATGCGCGCTTAGATGACCAAATGCAGCGCATCGAAGCGCTTTTGTCCAAGAAGATGAGGCATGAGTGACTAGGGACCACTCATGCGGGGGTTTTTGCAAGCACAGTG